CCTCCCGGGTTTCCCCCTGAACCCCTTCTAAATGTTATTTGCTCCACTCCAACAGCATGCCCAAGTTTTAAAAACCTTTTTTCTCCATTCACTCCTATAAAACACGCTCACGCATCCCCGCTGGAAGTCCAGCCCCTCGCAACAAAACCCCCTTTTTAACCCCCTCCCCCATTTTTATTATTATAATCAAAAAGAAGCGCAAGCCACAAGGATATACAGCGCGCAGGGCAGGAAGGAAGTGAGGGATGGGTGGAAAAAGGGGAGTTTGGTGAGAAAAGGGGTTACGGATAACAGGGGGGGCGGGGAGGGAAAGGGTAAAGGGCACAAGAGACTGAGCCAGAAAGGGCTGGGGGGGAGTGCGAAAAGTAATCAAGTTTGTGGAGTAAAACGGTCGTTGTCAAAAATAAATGAAGAGTCAGATTAAAGGAGGGTCCATCAGAAAGAAGGGAAGGTAAAAGAAAAGGTAGTAGAACGAAGAGACTTGGAGGAAAATTTGCGTCTCGTTGATAGAGAGGGCATCTAAAATGGCAATCGATACGGAACTTACACTGCTCACAGAGAGGAACAGGGTGCCTCTCCATGAGATACCCAGAGAAGAATGTGGCCATGCGAAGGCGGGAGAGAGTGTCTCCCAATTTCCACGATGACAAAAGACGGCCAGTAACCTATCCGGGTTTAATAGAAGAATTTTTTTTTTTACCGAGCAAGTTGCCCAACGTTTTTCCCAAGGGTGCGAAGGTGGGTAGCTTTTGCAGCAAAATAGTCCAAAAAAATGAACACCCGAAGGAAATTGGTAGGTCATATAGCGCCCGCGCAGCAGTGTCGCCTGTTCTTTGCCCTGTACTCGACTTTACCAGGGACCCAACAAAAAACAAATCTTTATTTTTTGGTAGAGATACGGCGTACCAAAGTTGGATACGGAGAACTGGGGGTAGAGTATCAAATTTTCGTATAGCCTGTAGAGCACTAAGGGAGTCTGAACTACTACAAATGATGACACAGGCATAGATGCAATACAAATAAGTGCTGCAAGAATGGCTACATTTCACATAAAAATGCAGTGAAGATAGTAAATGCCCCCCAAACCGCGCCCGGGAAAAACACTGCTGCGAACCCGACGCCGTCTGAAGACTTAGAGCCATTGTGTACACAGCGGTGGCAAGAAGGGAGTGGAAGTGATCAAAAAAAGAGAGGGGGAAAGCCACCGGGCATTGACTTTTCGGCGGGGAGTGAAAAGAACAGACCCGAACAGCTGGAATTTTCCCAGGGGGCGGGGAAAATGAATGCTACATAAAACAATAAAGGTGGTAACTAAAGGGAAGACAAGAGGAATGTAGGCAAGAGAAAAGGGGGAAGGACAAACAGGGGGGCGAACGAAAAAAGAATGTCTACTAATACAGTGACCATTCTATAAAGGGAAGGATTGGTAGATCGGAGAGCGTACATATAACGAAGGGGCAGGGCATCACGGGCGATCAAAAGGGATGGAACTTTTTGTTCGTATAAGGCTCTCAACAGGGGAAGAGCAAAAAGCACCAAGGCACAAACGAAAACCCTTGGGTGATGGATAGATTTAAAAGGCTAGGAATAGCAGGGAGGCCGCGGAAAAATCTGTCACCAAATAGTTTCGATAAAACGGGGGCTGAATGTGGGCGAAGCGATTTTCGACGATCAGCCCCCAGAAAGATAGAAAGGGGTTTTTTAAAAGGTTTGGGCTGTGACAAGTTGCCTTCAAAGAGGTAAGTGGGGGTTTCCGGGTTAAAACCGACGGTCAAAGAGAAGGCCTAAAACCGACTGTATCACGTTCGGGGATACGGGAGCCAAAGGATACAAAGGATACGGAGATAACAGACCCTTAGTGAAAGTAATTTGGTGATTTTTGGGTACTTGAAAATTTAAACCCAGTGGGGTTGGCCCAATGGAAACAGGGGTCGACCGCTGCGGGAGAGAACTTGCAAAAAGGTGACAGTCGCGCCTGCACAAGCAATACGAAGTCATCAACATAGAGTATGACCAAATATTGGGGGGAAAGAACGGGGCCCAAAATCTTTTATAGAAAGGGAGAAAAAGTGTTGTGCTTAGAACAATCCCTGGGGGACACCTTCATTGGAGAACCCGGGGGGAAAAACATTATTGACTCGAAAAGGGAAATGTCTGTCATTAAAAAGTTTTTAAGGAAGGATGGTAATTGCCTGGGAGGCCTAAGGAATGGGCCCTGGGCCAAAATATTATACCTCCAATTTGTGTCATATGCCTTCTCAAGGTCAAAAAATAGGCAATAAGAGTGATTATTCGAAAAAGGATTACGAACAACGTATCCAAGCGAGTAAGGGGTCTAGGGTAAAAACGACCCACGAAAGCCATATTGACTACGGAGAGCTGTTGTGAGTCTCTAAATACCACTTTAAACGCGATTTCGAGGCGTCCACACTTTTGCAAACTGCATTTGTAAGAGCGAGGGGGCATAGGGGGGGCTCATGTCCTGTAACCGGGGTTTGGGGGAAAGGGAGAACATGGCAGATTTCCACGCGGGGGGAAGAACTCCTTTGCCCAAATAAGATTAAAGGGTTTAAGGGGACTACAAGGGCTGACCGATGTAAATGTTGTAACATACAAATGAATGTCATCACCCCCAGCCCCGATGATGGGCAGGCTGAAGCGTTGCCTCCAGTTCTTGAAGTGAAAAAAAGGACATTATACTGTTCTTCTCCAGAAAAAAAAAGCCCAAAGGGTACTAATCTCTCAGATTTGAGGAAAAAAACGGGGCATAGATGGAGCCCTGGGGGAAATCGGCCCCAAATTGTCCCAATTTTCAATGGCAACTCGAGGGTTTTTGCTATACAACCCCCCGTGCCCCCGTAGAACAGGACCGGGCCCCGGAGAGATTAACCACTCAATTTCCTCACTTTTTTCCAATGCCCATAGAAGAAGCAGGTTGTGGAAACATAGTTCGCCAAAAAAGTGCGTTTAGCTCACGGATGACACGGGAGCGTCGCACGCTTCTGCTTAAAATAACAATTCCTCAGCGGTTCTATTGACCGGTACCTCCCATGCAGCACGTTTCAAACGTACGAAACGGCAAAGCGGGAACCCCCAAAGGGCACGCACTTCTGAGAATCCCTTTCCTGAGGTTTGGGGTATGAATGAAAGTGGGGTATAAATTTGTTTCGAGAAGATGTGGGGGACCACAATGGGGGGTGAAAAGGAACCTCACAAAAAGCAGTGGGGTTGGTAAAGCCCAATTTGCCCATAAAATTCCAGCGGGGGTTAGGGGAAGGGGTGAATAGAAGGAGAAGTAAAAATGATGGAAAAAAATCGCTGTCAAATTTTAAATCTTAGAACAACCAGGAGTCTATGCAGGGAGGAAGAGCAGACTGAAGATCGATGCAAGAGAAGTAGTACGAGGACAAAAGGGGGGGAGTACCCATTTTAAAAAATGGAGGGGGGGGGAGGCAAAAAAAGCCTCCCAAATGAATGCCACTGAGTACAAAGAGACCCCCCCCCGAGGGAAATGGTGGGGATTAAAATCACCAAGTAAAGAAGTGGGGGTGGTAAGGATAAACAAGAAAAGGCAAAGTTTGGGGTAGAAAATGCTCCCCCGGAAGGGGAGGATTAAAAAAACAATTTGTAAAAAACTTATTCAAATGGATCGGCTGCGTGTATGCAGCGAGGATGGGAAAAAGTTGACAGTACGGAATTTCATGCTAGAAGAAGGGCACTTTCATTTAAAAGGGCCCCTTGAAAAGGATCCGAAAAAATACAAAAAATTATAGCCTGAGAAGGTTTTGGGAAAAAACCGAGTTTAATTTTGGTTCTTGTAAACAAGCACCAACAGGGGAAAACCCGGAAAACAACTCTGAAGCTCACCCCGATTTCCCCGAGGCCCGATATTCCCCGTAAATAGGCCCTGATTGGCGATGAAAAAATATCAGGAAACTGTAGGTAAAGGCACCTACGGGCTAGAGGGGTTAGAAAAGTCAAGTGTTGGTGGCTTTGGGAAAATGTTCAAAGGCGAAGGAACGGAGGGGTTGCGAAAAATGGGGGTTTTGAAATGGAGGAGAGGGGAAAAGAAGGAACAAAGTGAATCAGTGTCCTTGAAGGGGGTTTGTCTCGCAATAATTTGAAATGGCTTCAAGTTTTTAATTTAAAGATGTATGGGAAACCATATTGGAGATAGGAGAGGAGGGGTGGTAAAAATTGGGACAGTAATGGACGTACCCAAAATAGAGGGGGAGGGAAAAGTGAAGGGGCTGGGATGAAGTGTGGGGGGGGACAAAGAGGTAGAAACCTGGGAGGGTACAGAAGAGGGAGAAACTTTGGGGGGGGACGGGGGGGGGAAGGGATAGTACGAGGAGGAGGGTGAATCTCCACACTTTTAAAAAGAGCCAGGAGAGGGGAAAAACTAGGTACAGAGACTGGAAAGGTAACGTTTGGGGGTGGAAGAAGGGGAAAGGGAAGGGCAAAGAAGATTTGAGCAAAAGTGGATTTTTTTGGACTTCGAGTAAGGGGCGATTGGGATTAGGGGGCGTACGAGGTCTTTTGATACTGGGGGCTTGTGAGGAAGGGGCGAAGATGTGAGAACAGACGAGTTTTATCGGGGCGTCAGAGCCAAGGACAGCAAAAGGGTAAAGCCGTAGTGGGGTATGGGGGGGTAACAAAGAGAGGGGGCAGAAGATGGGACCCCCAAAATGGGGGACGTTTTGGAAACACGAGAAAAAAACACGGGGTAGTCCCCTTTGGGGCGGAGAGAAACTGCCAAGCAAAGGGAGACCCCTCCTCTTTAGGCAACGGTTTACTTCATTTAAGTAGACCTGGCAACGGCGGATACGAAGGGGGGCTTCATTACAATTAAAACAAGATGGAGGTTACTGCAAAAGATTAGAATGGTTGTCGGGACCCCAGACGGCATTCGGCCATAGATCTGCAATATTTCGTGGGTGACCAAAAAACCCGCAATTTTCTACTTGTTCGGTTAGGATCACCTTTCGAACTTGTAACCGATGTCCCGCGACATATACAAGGGCGGGAGTTCTCGGGTGTCAAAAATTAAACGGCCACATTGCAAGGGGAAAAAGTCTCCGCCCCCGGGCAGGAAGGACAAAGTGTCTACTTTTGGATTGGGGGACCTGGAGTTCCAGCGTTCAAAAATGCATTGCCACATGACGGAAATTCTTGGGCAGGTATGGGGGGAAATGACAGTACCACACAAGAATTGAGAGAGAGATGTTTTTTTAATATGTAGGATATACGATATTTTTAAGGGAGAAAAATCATGAGCTTGGGTAGCATTTGGACATGACGATGCGTGTACCCTTTGAAGCGTGAAAAAGAAAAATCTCTGCCAACAGACCGGAGCCTTTGGCAATACTATGGTCAGAAAGGTAGGCAAAGAAAAGTGGTCTAAAATAAAAAAATTTAGTCCATTGTGTGGTCCAAACGAGCGTGGAGAGGGAGGTTGAGGTCGGTCGTTTCCCATAAAGGGAAGGTAACGCGGGGCATCATCAGGGGATTGACGTTGGCGTTTAGGAGTAGGACCCAGTTGGTCCGGCAGGAAAAGGGGGGGCGATTCGAAATTTCCCCACCGTAGAGGGGGAAGCCGGAAACAAGTCAAAGGAGACGGAGTTCGACAAATCGAAGGAGTCAGTCGAACCCCCGGGACCTGAAGCGGGTGAGGGGAAAAAGCACCGCAAAAAGGTACAGGGCATCAGGAGTGTCCGAAGAGTGGTCTAAACCAAGGCAGGGTCAGAAGGGGTGCGGTATCAAAAAGGGGGCCCGGGGGGGTAGGGTTTCATGGGGCTAGGGGTGCCATGGTTAGGTTCTCCTTTGCTTTTTTTTTTTTAAGAAAAAAAAAAAGAAAAAAAAAATAAAAAAAAAAAAAAGAATAAAAAAGGGGGGGGCGGGGGGGAAATTCCCAGGGGGAAAGAAAAAGGGGCCCGGGAAAAACCCCCCCCCGGGCCCAAAAGGGCCACACCGCTATAGCGCGATGCAGCAGGAACCGTGCCCTAACCCCCCCTTCTGCCAGTAAACCCGCAATCTGGATAGCAAAACCCCACATTGCCCAGCTACCCCGGGGGACAAAAAGAGGGGGGCCGGATATCCGCCACAAAGCATACCCCCTTTACCCCACCCCCGGAATCCGAAAGGTGGCTTTAGGAAAAACACCCGTCGCCCAAAAGACACCCAAAGCTACTCCGGATACCGGAGAGGGATCGGGACATCCCCAGGGAATCAGATTTCCCCGGGAAAATACGCCACGCCCAAAAAACCTCAACGGGAAAGGATGGACCCCGGGTCCTTTCCCCTACCTAGGAAATAGTGCGCCTTGGAGAAATCACAAGGCCAAAAAGAGGGAAGGGGAAAAGGGAGGGTGAGGGGGAGGGGGAGGAATGGAAAAAGGGGAGGATGGGGAGGAAAAGGGGGGGGAAATGGGGGGTAATTTGGGTTTGGTCTGAGGAAAAGACCGACAGGGGAATTCCTCAGACCAAGAGCCCCTTCACCCCGCCCAAAGGGGCCCCCCTTGAAGAGGCCCCCCCCTCTCCCAAACCTTTTTCCCAGGCCACCCTACCCCGCCCCCCTTCCACACGTGATAATCTTTAATTCATTCTGTTTTGCTCCATTCTCTCACATGTCCCAACCACCTCAACAACCCTTCCTCAGCCCTCTGGACAACTTTTGGTAATCCCGCCCTCCCCCTAATTCCAAAAATCAAATTCTCTGCTTATATTCCCCACACATTGCCCTCAAACATACCTCCCCTGCCCCACCTTCTCCCCGCTGCAAATTCTCACCCCTGTTCCCCAAACCCCTATAAAGGTTGGGAAAACTTACTCCAAACATTCCCCTCTTTTTCCCCCAAGGACAAAATTCTTTGTCTCCACGATCCTAATACCACTCACTCTTTTTTCCCCCCCATAAATTTTATGATTACCTATTTTTCATAGACCCATCCGCTACACGTCCCTCCCAAATATCTGAATACATTTACCCCCCCTTTTCCCCCCCTCCAATCTGATATTCAATCTTTCATCACCAAATCTTTTTGTTATCCTCATAACCTTAACTCTTTCCTGTATTCACCTTTAATTTTCTTCTTTTGCACCCCCTTCCACATTCACCACCAATCTCTGCAACTTCTCTTCAGAATCTCCAAGAGCAGTGTCATCAGCAAAGAGCAGCTGTGACAACTCCCACTTTGTGTGTGATTCTTTATCTTTTAACTCCACGCCTCTTGCCAAGACCCTCGCATTTACTTCTCTTAAACCCCATCTATAAATATATTAAACAACCACGGTGACATCACACATCCTTGTCTAAGGCCTACTTTTATTTGGAAATAATTTCCTCTTTTCCTACTACCTAATTTAGCCTCACTATCCTCGTAAAAACTCTTCACAAACTTTCAGTAACCTACCTCCTACACCATACACTTGCAACATCTGCCACATTGCCCCCCTATCCACCCTGTCATATGCCTTTTTCCAAATCCATAAATGCCACAAAGACCTCTTTAGCCTTATCTAAATACTGTTCACTTATATGTTTCACTGTAAACACCTGGTCCACACACCCCCAAACCTTTCCTAAAGCCTCCTTGTTCATCTGCTATCCTATTTCTCCGTCTTACTTAATTCTTTCAATAATAACTCTACCATACACTTTTACCCGGTTACTCCGCAGACTTATCCCCCTATAATTTTTGCACCTTTTTTTATCCCCTTTGCCTTTATACAAAGGAACTATGCATGCTCTCTGCCAATCCTAGGTACCTTACCCTCTTCCATACATTTATTTAAAAAATTGCACCAACCACTCCAAAACTTTTATCCCCACCTGCTTTTAACTTTCTATCTTTATCCCATCAATCCCGCTGCCTTACCCCCTTTCATTTTACCTACTGCCTCACGAACTTCCCCCACACTCACAACTGGGTCTTCCCCACTCCTACAAGATTTATTCCTCCTTTTCCTATACACGAAATCACAGCTTCCCTATCTTCAACAACATTTAACAATTCCTTTAAAATATTCCCTCCATCTTCCCAATACCTCTAACTCTCCATTTAATAACTCTCCTCTCCTATTTTTAAACTGACAAATCCATTTGTTCTCTAGGCTTTCTTAACTTGTTAATCTCACTCCAAAACTTTTTCTTTTTTTCAACAAAATTTGTTGATAACATCTCACCCACTCTCTCATTTGCTCTCTTTTACAATGCTTCACCACTCTCTTAACCTCTCTCTTTTTCTCCATATACTCTTCCCTCCTGCAAACACTTCTACTTTGTAAAAACTTTTCATTGCTAACTTTTTCTCCCTTACTACTCTCTTTACATCATCATTCCACTCATGGGACATTACAAAAATAAAAAGAATAACAATTTCAATTCTAGAATTAATGTTACTGGGCCTCTATAACATACATTAACACACTAGAAATGCTTTTGATAATTCATTTAAATGCATTACATGTGCTGCAAATACATAATCTGCAAAATAAAGTTATTGGCATAGAAGCTAACATACATTTATATAGGATATTAGTAAAACACTGAAGAAGCCTTCAAGGTATTCTTTAATACCATGAGCCGTGCAGCTAAACTAACACAGGTACACTGGTAAATTGAGGCACAAATCAGTAACATCTTCATGTGAAGGTGTAGACAAAAATATAAAAAATAAAAATCATCCACTGGTTATACTGTATTTGTTATTGAACGAAAATATTCATTTTAAATAACTTGAGAACATGTCCAGTGGTTGCAAATATTTGAATGATAGCTAAACATTTTAATGAATGTGCCCATGTTCATTACATAATTTGCCTCCATATGGTACCTGAGCACTGGGAATTACAATTTGTTCCTCTTCAATGTTTTTGCCACGGGGAGGCACACAATACAGGAGACCTTAGAAGGGAAAACATATTTTAAACTTTATGCATACTACAATGAAAATTGGTCTAGTGTCCATTTTGGGTACTGTTTATCCTCCAAGATGGTCTTAAAAGTGGAATATCCTTAACACAAAGCATGTTCAAAAGAAAATTAACAATTGAAAAGAAATATACAATGTGGGATGTAGTAATACACTATTACAATCATAATAATAATACTTGGTAAACAATTATACTCAACCATGAGTATAAAAAAGAAAGCAACTCATTGGGTGGCTATGCAATAAAGTCACTAAAGCTGTTTCCACCGACTGACAACAATTGACATTAGTTTTTACTGCTTTTGTTTAGTGTTGACTTTCGTAGGCTTTAAACAAACAAATTCGTTTCTTTGTTGATCATTTTGGTTTTTTGCAACAGCATGAATGTCCCAATTTACTTACGGCAATGGACCAGGGTTGCACTGAGTTAATCATTAATTTTCAAGCTCACCCTGAGTTATGGTATACTAATTCAACATGCACCAAAAATAGCGGAAAACTCCGGCCATGTTAAAATTAAGAATTATGAACGCAGAACCTAGATTTTTACATCAGAGTAGATAAATTCCAATCTATATTAGCACTCTCTCTTGGTGAACATATGCATATCAAATCTACCAGTAACTTGTATTCAAGGTTTAAATTTGAAATGACTAGGCATCTTAAAACCTTTACATATAGTATATTCCAAAATTGTATCGAGTGCTTCAAAAGATGTCTAAAACAATTCTAGATACATTATATCAATCTTTTTAAATTTAATGAAGATATCACATCAAATTATGAATCTTGTGGTTTACAACTAATTAAAGGAACTGCAAGGCAGTGACATCAGTACTGAACATTGGTAAAACATCCTTAAAATATTACCGAAAAGTTTGAAAAATAAAAGAGAAGCAAATAGTGCTTCTTTCTTTTTATATACCATACAATAAATATGAAGGGAGGGGTAAAGGAGGCTTTGAGTTTAGGGGCTTATGCATCCAACAGGTTTGAGTGAATGTTAGATAGGCATGAAGTTTTTTTAAGAGCTGTTACCTACTTCAGCTCATTTCAAAGCCAAGCCCTAATCTAAGGTATGTAACCACCCCAGGATGCAACCTGCAACAGCAGACTAACACTCAATATCTATCATAGGTGAACAGGGGCATCACTGTCAGGAAACTTGGCTAATTTTTCCACCTGTGTTGGAGATTGAACACAGAACTCAGTATGTCAGCCAAAAAAAGCACTACCAACTGCTCCACAGAAGTCTGTTGGAGCCCGAGCAGGTAACATCAAAAGAAGGATTCAGAGAAAATGGTTAGCCTGACTTAAGAGTTTTGGAGAGTGGGAAGGCCAGTGCCTACTATTTGGAGCGGGTAGGGAGGAAACTGCAGTCAGAGGGAATCTCATTATGCTATCAGCACACTTTGACAAGACAGAGATTGAATAATGATAGTGAATGTTTCCTCTTTGGATCAAAATTGCTTTGGTAGGAGATGAAATTAGAGATAAAAAAAAGAAAAATGGTTACAAGGCTGTTATTACCAAAGTCCACAAGCTAACATCAAGCAGCTTCAATATTTTGGGATACAACATAGTTAGAATCTTGGATATTTGGTAGTTAACATATGCAGTCAAACTTTAAAACTATTGTGATATAAAAAAATTCCCCTATGTACATAATTTTTCATCTTTCTCTTTAGAAAAACCTAAAACACAACATATTTCTTGCTTAATCTACTAAATAATTATGAAAAAATCACTGCAGACAATGACTTCAGCCTTTGTGTTTGTATTTACCAAAAATTTATGGCTAAAAAGAAAACTACATCAACACTAAACAGTAAAAAAAATACAAATTTTGTTTCTGAAATATTTATTTCCAGTTGAATATACTTTTTGTTGATTGTTTAGTCTATGGAAATGTGGCTGAACAAGTGACAAGTGCCTACAATGCAACTGAGATCAAGAACCCAAAAGAGGGTTACAGGAAGGAGGTAATGATAGGCTAATGACAATTCTTTCATAAAAAAAAAATTAGCACCTACAGAGGCCTACAAGTAATAATTTTTTATGATTTGAAGTCCACCACTAAAAACATTAGAAAAGGTAAATAAAATTTTTAAAAGTTAAATAAATGATTTAATTTACAGCCCAAAACCTCATTCAGCATTTCCATTAATACAGCTATTTTTTTTTGTGCATTCAAATATAGAAATTTAGAATTTTAATTCATTCCCCTTTGAAGGCAACAAGAGTATTGTTTATAACAAAAAGGCTACTTCCTATCATAGCTGTATAAAGCATCCTCTTACACAGAAAAAAATACTAAACAATTCCTGTAAATTGAATTTGAAGTGTTGCTCTACAAGTGTAGTACAGTAATAGGAAAACCTATTAGAAAAAACCCTTATCATATTTATTTAGTCCCACAGGAGGAGAAAGAGAATTGTGTGTAAAGCGAAGTGTGTAAAAAAGGGGGAGGAAGAGATTAAAGGGGAAAAGTGTGCAAAGGAAGAGTGAAGGGGCAAGTGTCTTTATAAAAGGGAAGAGTCTGTACGTAAAAGGGGTGAGAGTGTTTGAAAAGAAGGTGGTTTGGCGTTTCGATTAAAAAAGGGAGGGGGTAAAGGAGGTTTTGTGGGCGAGGGGCTTTGGGCTTTAGCAAACATGCGTGAGCGTGTTAGATAGGAGTGAATGGAGACGAATGGTTTTTTGGGACCTGACGATCTGTTGGAGTGTGAGCAGGGTAATATTTAGTGAAGGGATTCAGGGAAACCGGTTATTTTTTATAGCCGGATTGAGTCCTGAAAAGGGAAGTACTTTCAATAATAACATCTACCATAACAGCTTTACCAGGTATACTCCAGCAGACTTATCCCCCTATAATTTTTTGCACTCTCTTTTATATCCTTTGCCATTATATACAAAGGAACTAGCATGCCTCTCTGCCATCCCTAGGTACCTTACCCTCATCCATACATTTATTAAATAATTGCACCACCCACATCCAAAACTATATCCCCTACCTGCTTTTACATTTCTATCTTATCCATCAATCCCCCGGCTGCCTTATTAACCCCCTTTCATTTTACTACTGCCTCACGAACTTCCCCCACACTCGAACTGCCTCTTCCCTCACTCCTACAAGATTTTTTATTCCTCCTTGTCCTATACAACCGAAATCACAGCTTCCCTATCTTCATCACATTTAAGCAATTCCTCAAATATATTTTCCCTCCATCACTTCCCAGACCCTCTAAACTTCTCCATTTAATTAACTCTCCTCTCCTATTTTTAAAACTGACAAATCCCATTTGGTCTCTAGCTTTCTTAACCTTGTTAATCTCACTCCAAAACTTTTCTTATTTTCAACAAAATTTGTTGATAACAACTCACCCACTCTCTCATTTTGCTCTCTTTTACATTGCTTCACCAATCTCTTACCTCTTTCTTTTTCTCCATAACTCTTCCCTCTTGCATCTCCTCTACTTTGTAAAAAAACTTTTCAAATGCAACTTTTTCTCTCCCTCCCTTACTACTCTCTTTACATCAGTCGATTCCACTCATGGGACATGTACAATATAACAAGAATAACAATTTCAATTCTAGATTAATGGTTACTGGGCCTCTATAACATACATTAACACACTAGAATGCTTTTGATAATTCATTAACTGCATTACAAGTTGCTGCAAATACATAATCTGCAAACTAAAGTTATTGGCATAGAAGCAACATACCTTTAAATAGGATATAATTAAAAACCACTGAGATTGAGCCTTTCAAGGTATTCTTATAATACCATGAGCCGGAGCAGCTAAACAACACAGGTACACTGGTAAATTGAAGGCACAAATCAGTAACATCTTCATGGAAGGTGTAGAACAAAAATATAAAAAAATCAAAATCATCCACTGGTTAATACTGTATTTTTGTTATTGAACGAAAATATCATTTTAACTAACTTGATAACATGTCCATTGGTTGCAAATATTGAATGATTGAGCAAAACATTTTAAATGAATGTGCCATGTTCATTACATAATTTGCCTCCATATGGTACCTGAGCACTGGAATTTAACCAATCTGTCCTCTTCAATGTTTTTGGCCACTGGGAGGCACACAATACAGGAGACCTTAGAAGGTAAAACAGATTTAAACTTTACGCATACTACAATGAAAATTGGTCTAGTAGGGTGTCCAATTGTACTGTTAACCTCCAATATTGTCTTAAAAGTGTGAATATCCTTAACACAAAAAGCATGTTCAAAAGAAAAAAACACTTGAAAAAGAAATAATACAATGTGAAGTATTAATTACACATATACAATCAAATAAATAACACTTGTAAACAATTATACTCAACCATGTATAAAAAAAGAAAGCAACTCAAGGTGGGCAAGCATTAAAGTCACAAAAGCGTTTTCCCTTTCCACCGACTGACAACAGATTGACATTAGTTTTTACTGCTTTTGTTTTAGTGTTGACTTTCGAAGGCATTAAACAAACTTATTCGTTTTCTTTGTTGATCATTTGTGGGGGTGGGGGGGGGGGGGGCTACAGCAGAATGTCCCAATTTACTTACGGCATGGAACCAGGGTTGCACTGAGTAAATCATTACTTTTCAATCGCTCAAACCCTGAGTTAATGGTATACTAATTTCAACATGCACCAAAAATTGCGGAAACTCTGGGCCATTTAAAATTAAGAATTAATGAACGCAGAACCTAGATTTTCACATCAGAAAAAAAAAAGTAAAGATTCTTTCCCAAGTCTTATATTAGCAGTTCTCCTCTTGGTGAACATATGCATATTCAAATCTACCAAGTAAACTTTGTATTCCAGGTTTAAATTTGAAAGACTAGGCATCTTAAAAAACCTTACATATAGTAATATTCAAAATTGTATCGAGTTCTCACAGATGTCTGATACAATTCAAGCTACATTATATCAAACTTTAAATTTAATGAAGCTAAATCACATCAATTATGAATCTTGTGGTTTACAACTAATGTAATGGAACTGCACGGCGTGACATCAGTTATCTGAACATTGGTAAAACATATCCTTAAAATATTACCGAAAAGTTTGAAAAATAAAAGAAAGCAATATGCCTTCTTTCTTTTTTATATACCATACAATAAATATGAAGGGAGGGGGTAAAGGGGGGCTTTTGAGTTTTAGGGGCTTATGCATCCACAGGTTTGAGTGAATGTTAGATAGGCATGAAGTTTTTTTAAGAGCTGTTATCCTACTTCACTCATTTCAAAGCCAAGCCTATCTAAGGTTGTAACCACCCCCAGGATGAAACCCTGCAACAGCAGACTAACACTCAAATATCTACTCATAGGTGAACAGGGCATAACTGTCAGGAAACTTGGCAAATGTTTCCACCTGTGTTGGAGATTGAATCACAGAACTCAGTATGTCAGCCAAATGCACTACCAATGCTCACAGAATTCTGTTGGAGCCCGAGCAAGGTAACATCAATGAAGGATTCAGAGAAAATGGTTAGCCTGACTTAAGAGTTTTGGAGAGGGGGAAGGCCAGTGCCTACTTTTTGGGAAAGCGGATAGGGAGGAAACTGCAGTCAAGGGTAATCTCATTATGCTATCAGCACACTTTTGACAAGACAGAGATTGAATGAATGATAGTGAATTTTTCCCCTCTTGGATCAAACTTGTTTTGGGTTTAGAGATGAAAGTAGAGATAAAAAAAGAAAATGGTTACAAGGCTGTTATTACCAAAGTCCACAAGCTAACATCAAGCAGCTTCAATATTTTGGGATACAACAGTAGTTAAAAATCTTGGATATTTGGTAGTTAGCATATGCAGTCAAACTTCAAAACTATTGTGATATAAAAAAATTTCCCCCTATGTACATAATTTTTTCATCTTTCTCTTTAGAAAAAACCCAAAAAACATCAACAATTTTTTGCTTAATCTACTCAAAATTTATGAACAAATCACTGCGGGACAATGACTTCAGCCTTTGTGTTTGTATTTACCAAAAATCAGGCAAAAAAGAAAAACTACATCAACACTAAACAGTAAACAAATACAAATTTTTGTTTTCTGAAATATTTATTTCCAGTTGAATATATTTTTTGTTGATTTTTTAAGTCTATGGAAATGGGGCTGAACAAGTACAAGTGCCTACAATGCAACTGAGATCAAGAACCAGAAAGGGGGTTTTACGGGGAAGGAGGTATGATAGGCTAATTGACAATTCTTACATAAAAAAAATAATTAGCACCACAGAGGCCTACAAGTAAAAAATTTTTATGATTTAAAAGTCCACCACTAGAAACATTAGAAAGGTAAATAAATTATTAAAAAGTTAAAAAATGATTTAATTTACAGCCAAACCTCATTCAGCATTTCCTTTAAATACAGCTATTTTTATTGTGCTTCAAATAAGAAATTTAGAATTTTAATTCATTCCTTAGAAGGCAACAAGAGTATTGTTTATAACAATAAGGCTACTTCCTATCATAGCTGTATAAAGCTCCTCTTACACAGAAAACAACTAATACAATTCTGTAATTGAATTTGAAGTGTTGCTCTAACAAATGTAGTACAGTAATAGGAGAAACCTATTAGAATAAACCCCTTTGTCATATTTATTTGTCGACAGGAGGAGAAAGAGAATTGTGTGTAAAGCAGAAGTGTGTAAACAGGAGGAGGAAGAGATTAAAGGGGAAAAGTGTGCAAATGGAAGAGTGAAGGGGGCAAGTGTCTTTATAAAAGGGAAGAGTCTGTACGTAAAAGGAGTGAGAGTGTTTGAGAGAAGGGTGGTTTGGCGTGCGATTAAAAAAGGGAGGGGGTAAAGGAGGTTTTGTGGGCGAGGGGCTTGGACTTCACAAGCAGGTGAGCGTGTTAGATAGGAGTAATGGAGACGAATGGTATTTGGGACCTGACGATCTGTTGGAGTGTGAGCAGGGTAATATTTAGTGAAGGGATTCAGGGAAACCCGGGTTTTTTTTATATAGCCGGACTTAGTCATGGAAATGGGAAGTACAATGCCCGCACTCTAAAGGAGGGGGTTTTGGGATAAATTTGCAGTTTGGAGGATTGTTGTGTATCTTAATATGGTATATGCTTCTAAACTGTTGTGTTCTGAGCACCCCGCAAAAACAGTGAATATGTGTGAGTGAGGTGAAAGTGTTGAATGATGATGAAAGTATTTTCTTTTTAGGGATTTTCTTTCTTTTTTGGGGCGCCTGCCTCGGTGGGAGATGGCCGACTTGTTGAAAAAAAAAAAAATACATATACGTATAAACATATATACATATTTTTTTTTTTTCATATATATATATATATATATATATATAAAGAAAAGAAAAAATAAGAAGAGAGAGAGAGAGAGAGAGGAGAGAGGAGAGAGGAGGGGAGGAGAGAGGAGAGAGAGAGAGAGGAGAGAGAGAGGGAGAGAGAAGAGAGAGAGAGGAGAGAGAGGAGAGAGGAGGAAAATTTCAGAGAGAGAAGAGAAGGAAAGAGAGAGAGAGCAAGAGAGAAGGGCAAAAGAGAGAGGGGCAGAGAGGAAAGAGAGAGAGAAAAGAGAGAGAGGAAAGAGAGAGAGGAAAGAGAGAGAGGAAGAGAGAGAGGAGAGAGAGAGGGCAGAGAGAGAGAGAGAGAGAGAGAGAGAGAGGAAAAAGAGAGAGAGAGAAAGAGAGGAGAAGAGTGAAGAGAGAGAGAGGAGAGAGAGCAGATTCGAAACACATTTTCGTACAGCATAATGATGTCAACGAAAAAAGTCAGTTGATCAAATGAAATGCTGGCCCACAGATGGCTCCAACTTCATCCTGTTCCCTACTTGTATGTCTCATAAATAAAAATGCTTTCAAATGAGTTGAGTAGGTAACAGCTCTTAGCTTGCCAATAAAGTTAGGAATCCTTAACCTGTAAATAGCTTGTCAATTTAAAACTAAAGGATCCTTAAACCTTGTCAACCCTGTGTAAAACAAAAAAAAAAAAAAAAAGGGAGAGGAAGAAGAGAGAGGGGAGAGAGAGAGAGAGAGAGTGAGAAGAGAGAGAGCAGAGAGGAGAGTCAAAAAGTCAAAAGAAGGAGAGAAAAGAGTGAGAGAGAGCGAGAGAGAGAGTCAGAGAGAAATGAGAGGAAGTAGAGAGAGAGTCAAAGGAGGAGGAGAGGGAGAGTAAGAAAGAAGAGAGAGCAAAGAGAGAGAGGAGAGCAAGAGAGAAAAGGCAGAGTCAAAGGAGGAAAGGGAGGAGAGTCAAAGAGAGAAGAGAGTCAAAGAAAGAGAAGTCAGGAGAGAGAGAGAGAAAAAGAGAGAGAGAAAAAAAGGAGAGAGTCAGAGAGAGGAGAAAGGAGAGAGTCAGAGAGAGAGAAAGAGAGGAGAGAGTCAAAGAGGAGAGGAGAGAAGAGAGAGAGAGTCAAAAAGAGAGAGAGTCAGAAAGGAGAGAGTCAAAGAAAGAAAGGGAGAGTCAAAGAGGGGGAGGAAAAAGAGAAGAGTCAAAGAGAGAGAGAGAAAAAAAGAGAGAGAGAAAAAGAGAGAGAGAGAAAGAGAGAGAGGAGAAAAAAGGGGGGGAGTCAAAGAGGGGAGAGAGTCAAAGAGAAGGAGAGGAGAGTCAAAGAGAAGAGGGTCA